TTTTTTTTTTTTTTTTTTGGTACTGGGGATTGAACTCAGGTCCTTGCGCTTATAAGGCAGGCCACCAAACCGCTGAGCTAAATCCCCCGCCAAGCTATCTTCTTATTGTGGCCTCCTCTGTGCACGTGCAGAGAAGAGAGCTCTGTGATGTCTTCCTCTTTGAAGGACTACACCTTACAACCTCACTTAACCTAGACTGTCTCCTTAATGGCCCTGTCTCCTAGAGCCCTCTAAGAACCTCTTTTCCAGGAAACACTTCTGGGTGAATTCAGCCACTCACACACCCATTCATGGAAGCATTTGTGCCCTCAAGGACCTATTAAGGCTTCAGTAGAGTATCCAAAGTCATCTACAGATCAGACAATTCTTACAGGGTATTAATGCAGGTGTCTTATAAATTCAAGAAAAGCCAATATTGCAAAGTAACATAACTGTGTTTGAAATTACAAGGCCCAAATTCAAGTTCCAGCTTTTCAACTTTTAACTAAGCATACTTTATATCACTGAGCCTGAGTTTATTTTTAAATTCTTGCATATTATTTAAATAATCCAAGTTGCTGGGTGTAATGGTGCATGCCTGTGATCTCAGGACTGGAGATGTTAAGGCTGGGGGCTTAAGAGTTTGAGGCCAGCCTGGGCTACATAGTAAATTCAGGGTCAACCTAGACTACATAACAAGACCATTTCAAACATAAATATACAAATAAATAAGTAAATACATAATCCAAATATAAAAGCTTATATAGCAGAAACATTAAAGTTGTACAAATCCCATTACTTAGGAATAACTAGTCCTGTATTTTCTCTGCTTTTTTCCTCTATGTATATATAAAAGAAGACGGTTTTTTTTTCTATACATCCTTTCCATCTGATCATATATGTCTTCTCTATTCCACTTCCCCAGTTCTTTAAAGAGGTGTATTGATGGAAACAAGACGTTTTATGGTAAGTCACTTGATAATACAAGTGAAGTGCTTCCTAAGTCATGGAAGGTTGTATCAATAGTGAATATTTATGGTGGGAAATATCTTAGTTTTTATATTGTCCTCAGTTTCCTTGTGCACTTCAGATGCGGTTATGATGACTGAGTGAAAGAGCAGTACTGAGCCTACTATTCAAAGATAAGACATATTCCTATTTACCAAGCCTGCTATGACCACCACCACCTCCCACCCAGCCAAAAGGAGGAGGAGAACCATGGGCTAATGGCAGAGGAGACCCAAGAAGGCCCTGTTCAGGTGTGTGCAGGACAGGTCATTTAGAGCGGGGGAGCAAGCCAGGAATACTGGGCAGTGGAGGTGGTCAAAGGCTCTTTTCCTTGGGCTTAAGTGGGCTGCAAGGTGGAATCACACCTGGCAAACTGAGGTAGACTGGGGATTTCATAGTGGCTGCTTTCCAGGGTTTAGACAGTCTGGTTCAATTCCAGCAGAGAGACACTGGTGGATTGGCTGGACATATCAAGGATGGGCCAGTCCAGTGACCTTTGCCTCAGGTGCCAGGGAGCTAAAAACCCTAATAGTAGGATAAGTTTCGATTCCTTTACTTTCATTCATTCAACAAATGTTTTTTGAGCTAGTATATACCAGGTCTAATTCTCATAGATAAAGGTACAAAAGTCTTGCTTTCAAGATTAGATTTTAGGAAGAAAAAGACAATAATAAACATAAAGCAAAAAGAGATGACATCATATGTTAAAAGCGATATGTGCTATGGAATAAAGATAAAACAGAACAAGACAAGGGTGATGAAGAGTGCAATGGGTCCAGGTACAGTGGAACATGCCTGTAGAGTCAATTAAAGAGGGTGAGGCAAGAAGGTCAGTTGAACCCAGGAGTTTGAGACCAGCCTGGGCAACATAGACCCTACCCAAGAAAAGCAGTGGTACAAGAGATTATAGAGATTAGATGAGGCACAGAGATTGTAGTATTAAATAGAAAAATGAAGATGGACCTCATTGAGCAAAGACTTCAAGGGAGTGCAAGGATGAGCTTTGCTCTTACCTAAGGTGAGAGCTTCTAGAAAGGGAGAAGCCAGAGCACAGGCCTGTGTGATTTGGAAGTCATGAAGTTCCCCTAAAAGCACATGGAATGCTTAATATGTATTCTATAAGTGAATGCTTGGAATAACTTTCCTTGGAGAGTTTCTCTTTGAGACTCCCTACCTCAGAAGTGGGAGAAAGAAGCCACCTTGATTTTGACCCTGTCCTAGCGATGAAGTACAGAAATTCTCCCCAGGCATCCACATGGGGATGCCTGAGCTACATTTGCCTAGGAGGGAAGACTCACCTCATTGTCTAGGGAAGGTGCTCACACCTTTCTGTGTCTAGGCTCATCTCCGTTCTGTGAGTAGTCATACTCTCATGGGCTCAGGGAACAAAAGAAACAGGTTAACCTCATTCTTTTTTTGTTTAAGATGAAATGGCCAAGGGCCAGGGATTTAGCTTAGTGGTTCGCCTGCCTTGCAAGAGCAAGGACCCGAGTTCAATCCTTGGTGCAAAAAAAAAAAAAAAGGTAAAATGATCGAGATTGAAGACAGAGAGTTGGTGCTAGCAAAAGACTGTCCAAAGATAGTGGAGTCATGTGGGAAAACATTTCATGGTCAGACCTGGGAGGTGTCACAGAAAGACCCTGAATGTGGAGAAGTTGGGGATTATAACGGTGGGGCAGAAAGGCAGTGGGGAATGGGTTTGGCAGATGGGCAACATCAATGTGGGGAATGTGGAGAGAGCTTTGCTCAAAGCTCAGGGCTCTGGCTGGGAATTTAGCTCAGTGGTTCGGTGGCCTGCCTTGCAAGCGCAACGACCCAGTACAAAAAAAAAAAAAAAAAAAAAAAAAAGCTTAGGGCTCACTTGACATCAGAGAACTCAAATTGGAGAAATATGGTATGAATGTAATGAGTGTGGGAAAACCTTCAGTTGAAGTTCTGGGCTCTTTAATCACCAAGGAATGCCAGAGTGTGGGTCTGATCCAGCATCAGAGAATCCGTAAGTGGGAGAAGCCCTATCAGTGCAGCCAGTGTGATAAAAGCTGTAGTTGCTGGTCATTTCTCATTGAGCCTGAGAGAAGGCACACCAGAGAGCGATCACACCAATGTCTAAAGTGTGGGTAAAGCATCAATCGTCATTTGCAACTTCATCCAACATCAGAAGATCTGCACTGGCTGACATGAGCCAGCATTTGCTGTGAATGAATTCTCCAAGTCTCTGGCCAAGTTCTAGGGAGTAAGATAAGACCAGAAAATACCTCTTTCTTCCCATCTCCACTAAACATGTTTGAGACAGATACTGACCTATGACCCAGGACTTCCTAAAAGGCAGTTTTGTGTTTTTGCAGCTGATGCTTTCCTTTTTGTTTGCTACTTTCCCTTTTTTTTTTCTTGGTACTAGGGATTGAACTCAGGACCTTGCACTTGTGAGGCAGGCAGCAGAACCACTGAGCTAAATCCCCTGTGCTACTTTCCTGTTCTTATGACCCCTGTCCTCTTATCCTCAGGTGCTGACCCATTAGTAATATACTGAAAAAGTCAACATCCTTGAAAAATCTGGTATTGATAAAGAGAACTACTGTAAATAGTGTGAAACTACAGAATAGAATGTTAAGGAAATACAGAATAACTGCTGTCTTTCACTTCTGTTTTTTAGGACAATATCAGAACAGTTTCATCATTAACTACAAAGCTTGAAGGCACGTAGCCCCACTTTAAAATGTTATAAGATTAACAGATGCCAGAGGTGCTGAGCTGCATCCCCAGGGTGAGACCAGATGTTCAAAGTAAGATAACAATTGCCATACCTTGCAAAGTATAATTAGACCCTAAACCCTAAACTTTTTGTAAATTATATGACTATAAAAGAATTAAGATGAAAAGAATGTCACCAGTTCTGTTTTCCTAACCCTGACCCCCATTCTTGTGGGCTAGAATAGTTAGGTGAATCCTAAAGATAAATACCCTAACCACAAAGAAAATGCTACGTTTGGGTTAACATTAAGCAGTCTTGTGACCATGATTTGTGATGGGAACTGAGAGAAGTGGAATGTTATTGAACTACCTAAAATGAGGTCATGATTATAAAACTCTTATAAAAGGCAGATTGTAACCTGTTCCAGGGTCAGTGATTTGTCACAGCCCTTGGTGCAGGCCAACCCTTTGCTAGTCAACGTTTTTACCCACTCTTGTGTCTCTGTGTGGTTTACCAGTTCTTCCGCAACAGTATCTATGTTTAATTTCTAAGATAACATAGTATTCCACTGGTGTTTTATAATAAATTGGTCTTTGGTATTCCTGTTGATAGAGAACACTTTAATGTAGAATAACTTATGCCGTTTGCTTTGTTTAGTTCAGAATCAATAGGCACTGGAGGCATCTAGTCTCCCTTAAAAGTATTGTAAATGAAAAGAACCATTGTTAACTTTGCTGACCAGACACACCCTCTTCCCCTGGGCTAGAATAACTAACTGAATTTTAAAGGAAGCCTCCCCTACCAAGGAACTGCTACATCCTGGTTGAAATTCTACTGCCTCACCACCGTGTTTTGAATATCAGCAATGTGAGTTGTGAAAATGAAATGTAACCACCTCAATGAGATCAAGGCTGTAAAACCCTATAAAAGAGGGAGTTGTAGCCCAGTACTGGGCTGATCAGGGCACTGCCATTAGGTGTGATTGATCCCCATCGATGGAGTAAACTTTGGTTATTACTTCCACTGTTGACTGTGTGTTGCCAATTCCTTCCATAACACTGTGACCCCTGCCTATACTGTGGACACTGTCATACCCTACTTCTTCCCTCAGACACCTGCAAGATTCTCCATTGTAATAGTGACCAGTGCTACTGTGTATCTCACTGAGCAGTGTGTGTTTACTCAAACTATGGCTGTCCTAGAAGCAACCATGCAGGGAGATGTGTACTATCCTATTTTACAGACAAGGGGTCTAAAAGAGAATCCAGGCATCAGAGCCAAGACTTGAAACAAGATTTTATTTCCAGTGGCCTTCATATTTTGAAATAATTTTAGACTTAAAAAGTTACAAAGAGTTATTGTATACCCTTCATCCAGTTTCTAATGTTCTTATCTCATTTCATATCTTTTTAAACATTTGCCTTTTGACCACAAAACCCAGATGGCATGCTTCATACTGGCATTATCATTTTCCCCATTTAAGCTTAGTTGCCTGAAAATCTCTTAGTGCTTTTTTTTAAAACCATATCTTCATGTTATATAAAGTCATCAGTATCCCAAATATCCAAGAATTGAGTTACTGTCCAGATTAATGGGCTACCTAAGGTGCTAGCAGAAATCTTTTTTTTCTCTTCTTTTGCTCGGTTTAGGTTTGGCGGAAAACATTTCCCTTATAGATCTTTTTTTTTTTCTTTAGTACCTGAGATCAAACTCAGGACCTTGTGCTTGCCTGGCAGGTGCAACACCACTGAGCTACATCCCTGGCTGCTCTCTATAGATCTTTTAAAATGAGTTTCTTTTTCAATAGTTTGAATTTCTTCAGTCCTCAAGGTCCCATTACAAATGTTCATTCAGCTCAGAAATGAGTTTCTTGGGCTGGGGATTTAGCTCAGTGGTTCTGCCACCTGCCTCACAAGCACAAGGATCTGAGTTCAATCCCTGGTACCAAAAAATTTTTTTTTAAAATGGTTTTAATCTTTTTCAGTCCTCAAGGCCCAGTTACAATGTTCATTCTGCTTAAAGAATCATACCACAGCAATAGATGCACACCCGTCTTTATAGCAGCACAGTCTGTAATAGCTAAAACTTGGAAACAGCCCAATTTCCCATCACCTGGAGATGTGATTTTTTATAAAGTGGAGTACTACTCAGCTATAAAGAATGAGAAACTAGAGACATTTGTAGCTAAGTGGATGCACATTGAGGCCATACGCTCAAGTGAAATAAATAGGACACACATGTAAATACCAAATATTTTCTCTGGTGTGAAAAATTGTATAATCAATTGTATTATTGATCGAATTGTATAATAGATAATATGAAATAGGAAGAAAATGTCTAAAGGAGTAGGGGAAGTAGGAGGGGTAGGGGAAAGGTGGGAAAAAAAAACATGAGAAAAGGAAAAAAATGGAAACAGTCTTTGTAAATAGGAAAGGGTGAAGGGGGTGGGAATGGGGAAAAAATAAGAACCAAGATACATTGTGTAAAGGTACAAGATCCCAATGATGAATGTGACTGTTGTATACCTAAAATGTACCAATAAACTTATTGGTGGGGAGGAAATAGTTAATTTTGTGGAGGTAGCAAAAGTGAAAAAATGTTAAAAGGCTAGAAAAGATTGAGTGGAGAAAGTCTGAGGAACTTCGTGAAGCTAAAGATTTAAATTAGACTGAAATGAGATAATCAAGCATTACAGGGTGTTTTGAAAGTGAGAACCCTTTGGTTGTGAGAGCCTTGAATCAGCCGGTGATGCTTCAGAGCAGAAACTTAGTATGTGTACTTGAGAAGAGAGATTAACACTGGCTGGTGCCAAAATAAAACATGGTCATGGATTTCTTCAGAGGAATCCATTCATGGGTCTGGCAAGGCTGGAGGCTGATGATATGTACTCAAGTACCTGGGAAGAAATCAGTCTTCGAAATACAGGTGATTTGGGTGAAAAGGGAGGAGATCATGAAAGTCTTATTTCTTTTGATTAACACAGCATCGACCCTTGATTTCAGATGCTGACATTTTGGAGACTGTGGAGTTCTTCACCTCAGATTCTCAATAGATCTTCCTTTTTTTTTTTTGGATACCATGAATTGAACTCTGGACCTTCTGCTTTTGAGGCAGGCAGCAGCACCACTGAGCTAAATCCCAGGCCCCATTACCTCAGATTCTCAATATGCTTCTGAACAAATACATTTTCTACCACCCACACTTGGGTTTCTATTTACATCAGCTGCTGCTTACCTATCTTCATATCCAACTAACAGGGCAGTTTTAGTCATGAATGATAAATATGTGGTGGGAATCCTCTAACCTGGAGGAGCTAGCTCAGGCTCAGCTAGCAAAAGCCAAATGCAGCTTGCTGATAACTGGGGGCCAGATGCAGATGGTGTCTTAGAACCCAGCCAGGCCAAAGATGAGTGAAAAGCGAGATAAGCATTACAGAATTTACAGCAAAAGTCATACTTTGACATGACTTAATACACTGATATGTATTTATCAGAATGGAAAGATTTCCCTTTAAGGAACAACAAACTTCATGTGTACTAATAAGAGTCCTATTACTAGAGCTGTCTTGAAAGGTCTCAGTGATTAAGAATTACACCTAAAGGCCTTCCCTGTTAAGGTATTCTTACTGTAAGTGCTGCCCTCATGGAGAAATGCAGATTCCCACACCAACTCTGGAAACACTGCATACGTGGCTCAGATGGACCCAGATTCTAGAATGTCAGAGAAGTAGATAGAAACACATGGCTTTAGAAATTCCTCAGACATGTAGAGTCAGATTTTTGGAGCCTTAAAAGTCATTTTATGATATGTTTACTAAATGTTTATTAGCATCTATATGTAAGGCACAATAAGTAAAAGACCTCAGCCTGACGAATTCATGAAGGATTCATCACTGGCAAAATGAATGGGAAGAGCAGCAGCCCCACAAATCAAGAGCCATCCATCCAAGAAAAAAAAGTACTGGTCAAAGGCAACTAGTCAGTCTCAATGGCCAATTAAATCTGAAAGGTGAGAACGAAACACCTCAGGTCCTACCTCTTCCAGACACTATTCCAATGCTGTGAAGTATGGTTCCATTCACCTTCTAAAACCATCTCAGCTAGAATGAATTTTCCAATACATGATGATGTATATTAGTAAATAAAACCCTATAGGAGACATCCCTGCCCAGTACTAGTTGGGCTGAGTGACATGTTTCTTGCCATCCATAATTTGCCTATATTATTTTATATCAGGAGTCAGACTGAAGCTCCACATGACTCAAATGGGCATGTCAGATGGTGGACTGGGTGAGTACAGCCCCTCCCTCAATGGCTGCCACAGAAACATAGGCCCTGGTCTGTGAAGTGACAGGTGGCCCTACTGAGTTACATGCAGCTGAGGTCAGTGTGAGCCCAATTAAAGCCCTTTCCCCTGAATTATGGCTTCTCACTAACCCAAGGGGTTGCTTGTTAATTGCATGCAGTCCCAGCACCAGTTCGTTCTACCCAAACAAGATACAGTGCTTACTTCCTAACAGCTCTGCCTGGTACCATCATGCCAGGTGTTCGGCAGTAATTCACTAGATGCCCTCAAAGCATACCCTACTCCCTATTCCTTCCCACAACTGTATTCAATATATACTGGATGTGCTTGGGGGGCCTTTGTCTTTGCTGCCACGAGTGTACTGACCAGGACCCAAGACTCAGTTTCTCCACTCTAAGTCTCATTTCCTGTCTGTTCTTGAATTTGCTTTGTGCTGTGGGTGGCTCACAGGCCAGGACCCTTAGTAGAGGTCCTGGTAATGTCCCCTTCCATTCCCTACAAAATCCCACTGACAACTTCTGTAGCCAGCAAAGCTCCAGCGGATTTCAATACAATGACAAATGAGTACCAAATTTGCTATGCATCCAATGGGTCACTGTGACAGAATTTTTTTTGCCTACATGGCTCCTGTGATGTTGAATGAGGTATGAAGTTTGGGTGAAGCCTTTTCCACATGCATCACACTGATAAGGTTTCTTCCCAGTGTGGATTTTCTGATGTTCAATAAGACTTCTGTTTTAAGTAAAACTTCTCTCACACTCATTACATTTATAAGATACAGAAGTTTCAGCATTTTCTGACTGGCTTTCCATCTTGGCCCTACCTATCCAGGACTTTCCAGCATCATTTCTATCACCATGGATCCTCTGGTGTCTCTGGAGATGGGAACTCCACCTAAAGGCTTTGCCACACATGGTGCACTGGTATGGCTTCTCCCCAGTATGAATTCTGTGATGTTCAAGGAGGCTACAACCCTGGCTGAAGGTTTTCCCACAGTCCTCACACTCATAGGGCTTCTCTCCCATGTGTATTCTCTGGTGTTTCATAAGGTCTGAGCTGTGACTGAAGACCTTTCCACACTCTTCACACTCATATGGCTTCTCTCCTGTGTGGATTCTCTGGTGAATGACTAGGGCAGAGCTCCTGATGAAGGTCTTCCCACATTCCTCACACTCATAGGGTTTCTCTCCAGTATGGATCCTCCTGTGTTTGGTCAGACCTGAACGTTGAGCAAAACTCTTTCCACATTCATGACAAATATGCCTCCTGCTCCCTGTGGCATTTTTCTGCTTTCTTTGTAACCTGTCTTCCCATTCACCAGCTTCAGCACTAGCAGGAACTTGGGCAGTGTCCTCACCCAGGTGGCAGGGAGTCTGCCCAGGATCTTGTCCTGGATGCTCCTCAGCTGGAGAAAAGCCCCTGATCTTAGCCTGTATTTCACCATCTGAAACAACAAAGGCCAACAAAGGTCAATTGTGCCCTGTATGGGAGGAAAGCTCTGTGATGAGCACCAGGGAGACAAGAATTGCAGGGGTCTCTGCATGCCAAGGAGGACTGAAGTGCAGGAAGGAGGATGGGAATAAAAGAGGCTACAGAGTGCTGGGAGGAAGAGACCTGAGAATGGGATGGGGCCAGGGGAGAAGGTACAGGTGGGAATGGAGAGAGTGCCGGGGACACACCACGGTGCTAGTTTGGAGGAGGGGGCTGCTAAGCAATAAGAACAGTAAGGCAGGGCCACACACTGAGATTAGATACTGAAAGGACTCAGCAGGTGGTGGCAGTAACAGGGCAAGTGGAAGAACTTCTGAAATATTCTGTAAGAAACAGCAAAAGTGGGAACTTGGGATTTGGTCCTGATCAATGACAGGAGTTATCTCTAGTGAGCTGCTAGGTAAAGGCAAGGTCCTCAACAGAAGTGTCATTGGTATTGGGAGTTCAGAGTTGGAAACTTCACTATGCTGTTATGCTGGTGAATCTTGCCTGTCAGTGTGACAGCTTGAGAGGGCACTAATCTCATCAATGAGTTAACCTATGGACGAGTTCATAGCTGTCTGGGGCTGTTAGAGGCGGGACCTGATTGGAGGAAGTGGGTGGTTGGGGTGAGACCCTAGGGACTGTAGTACCTGCCCCTTCTTCTCTGGCTCTTTGTAACCCACAATGCTTTGTAGCTTCCATGAGTTGACCAGCTTTCCTCTGCCACACCTTTTTGCTATGTTTCTGTTTTGGAGCTAGATGACAGTGGACTGAAGCCTCTCAAATTATGAACTAAAATAAACCTCCTCCTTGAAGCTGTGGATCTGAGGTCTTTTTTCCCAGCAATGGGACAATTTGCTAGTTGTGTGACCTCTGAAAGTCACAAAACCTCCTGTGCCTCCACACCTTCACCTCTAACATTAAAGTCTGTAGTCAATGCCTGAGGTCACTTATAACTCACCCTCTGTGGCTCCATGGCCTATTTTCTGAAGTGTCCCTTAGCTTTCTTCAGTCAGGTCTAGGAAAAGGAAGGGAATTAACACTTACTGAGGATGTACTGAGTCAGACCTGTACTGAGGGGTACAGCTCCTTCATCTAATCTACTATGACCATAACACTGGCAGGGTAGAAAATAATGCAAAGGTCAGAACATTTAAGGAGCTAGGTACACAGCTGGTTGGAAACAGAGGAGTTCACAGATGGTCATTCTGCATCCAAACAGCTTCTAACAGCCCAGCATCACAAGCAAATGAGCCAGTCTTGTCTGACTTAGCTAGGGAGTGGGGGCGGCCACAGCTCCCCGCGACTTTCATCACTGCAGAATTTCACTGGAGAAGGACCCAGCTGTGTCCACCCATGGGACAGCATCAGGGCCACGAGTTCCACTCTGAGCAATTCCTAAAACAACAAATAGTCCCACCCCGTACCTCTTGCCCATCATCACTCCCAAAGCAGGTACGTGCATAGAATGAACTTATCCCTTATAGGGGCTCTTTAAAGAGGAAAAGTGGCTTACCTGATATACTTAAACCTAGTCAAAAACGTATTTATCCAAAAAACAAAACAAAACAAAAAACAAGATGTATTGTAAACACTGGGGAAAATCATATAAATAACTAAACAGTCTAGAAAGCAAAAAGTTTTGGAAAACAACAGCCAATGCAGCAAAAGGAATAGAAACATATTCACAAACTTCAAAAGATTTGTAGTGTTTGGGAAGGAGAGGGTGAGGGTTCATTTACATTAATATTTTTTTAAATCCAATGAAATCTAAGTGTGAGATTAAAAAAATAAGGGAAAGCAAAGGATACAGAGAGCCTCAAATAACCTCAAGCAGGACATGAAACATTGAATGAGAAAGTAAAATCTAGGTTAAGTAAAGATTGTTCTTACTGAAATATAACCAACTTTAGACTAAAAGGACTGAAATATATGTTTGCTTCAAATGTAATTCTTAGAAGGCAGAGGTCAGGCCTTTATATTTCTCAAGGGTATGCTTTATTGTATTTTATTTTTAAAAAACAGGGCTGAGGGCCAGGGATTTGGCTCAGGGGTGCCACTGCCTGCCATGCAAGCACAAGGACCCGAGCTTGATCTGTGGTGACAAAAAAAAAAAAAAAAAAAAAAAAAAAAAAAAAAAAAAAAAATAAAAAAAAAAAAAAAAAAAAAAAAGAAAAGAAAAGAAAGAAAGAAAAAGAAAACAGGGCTGAAGGTGTAGCCCTTTTATAAAACAGGGCTAAGGGCTGGGAATTAGCTCAGTGGTGCTGCCACCTGCCTCACAAGTCCTCAAAATGTCCTGAGTTTGATCCCTGGTACCAAAATAAACAAACTACAACAAAAACCAGAGCTGAGGCAGAGGGGGCAAGCTTGCCTAAAATGTCTGAGGCCCTGGGTTCAATTTCCAATTTCCACTGCAAAACAAAAACACTAAACAAACAACCTACTGTCACAAAGAAACCTTCATTTTGCATTTATTAAGTTGCTGTTGTTGAAGAAGAAAATCCCAGGGAAGACAGGACCAACTAAAGCGATGGGATAGGAAAGATGGAAGCAGCAGAGGGCACTTCAGGGTAACAAGAAAACAGCAAGAGCCTGAATAGGCACCAAATGAAGCACAGAGATAAGCAGTAACAGGGTGAAAAAACTCAAATCTCATGTGTATCTGGGATGGGGTGGGGTAGAACTGGGGAGCCAGGCAGCTGAGAAGCAAAGCTGATAGATACGGTGGGGGGGGGACTCCAGCTCACCTGGGACTCTAATGCAGACTTAGCAACTGCCACAGCATCTTCTCTGCATCTGCCTCCCTGAGCAAACCCAGGGACCTGGAGAACTAAGAAGAAAAGAAGCTCTGGATGAGATCTACCTGGGTATTCAGCGTCCTTCTGTTGTGGAATGCAAGATCAAAAACTAGATTATTAAATTCTTGCTGAAAAGTTTACACAGGGTGTGTTCCTTTTCAAAGCACAGAATCCCTACTAGCTCCATTCCTACGGCCTAAGGAGTTCTGCTGTATTCTTCAGATACCCCAAAATCACAGGCAGAACCCTTAGCAGGAGCGGTGAAATAAATGCAACGTGAAAACAAAGCCTTTCATTTTCAGAACTTTCAGTATTTAATTCTCCTGGGACATGAGGGTATAAAGGAGTTTTGGGGGAGGCTGTTTTGTTGTTGTTTATAGATCAGATTCAAGAGAGAGGTAGAAACCTGAGGTTTCCCAATAAGAAGTGAACTCTGCAATGGACAGAGCATGAGTTGGTTTAGGCCAAGGCTTTGGTTAAGAAATAAAGTTGCGTGTTGGGTGTCATGTCTACGTACTGTATGTATATCCTGGGAACCTGCCCAAATGTTCACAGGAATAAGGAACACCCTGGAACAAACAGCAGTTTCCTATTTCCCTATTCCTATCTCTGAATGATTTTCACTGTTTTACTGACACACTTTACAGGGTCTACAAGATTTATAGCTTTACTTACAGGACTTTTACTATTTCTGGAAAATCTTTTACAAATTCTGCCTTATATTCTTTATAGTATTTTTTAATATCTAAAATTGTATTGTTGATTTACTTGCTATATTCCTCACTAGAATATAAATCCTACTAGAGCAAGCATTCAGCCTTATTTAGCCTAGAATATAAATCCTACTAGAGCAAGCATTCAGCCTTATTTAGCTAACAACATTGACTTCCATTGGAAGGTCTCTATGGATAGATAGTAAATGAATGAAGATCACTATGCTGTTACAAAATAAAGTCTTTCAGAAACCAATTTTAATGAAGTGCTATTTCCTATATCCAGATTTGATTAAGAAAACTTTCTACTACTGTTTAAAACTCCCCCTTAATTTCAGTCTTCGAGTCAATCAGTGATGGGCATTTAAAGTACCTGTCAATGGATCTTTCAGGTGACCCTTAAATGAAGTCTTTAGAGTTCACACGATCCCGGGCTGGGGTGTACCTCAGGGGTAGCAAACTGACCCAGCATACACCAGGCCCTGAGTTCCACCTCAGCACCGCATTAAAAATCACACAGCTCACAGGCAGCACTCACCTGTGTTTTGTGAGAGCTGGGATCCCCGAGATTCACGCCCGAGCAGAGGCTTCACTGCCTGTACTTGGCTGCTTTGTGACCTCCGGGCCGCTGCCACCAGTCCCGCCCTGGCGACACAGAAGTGCTTGTCCCGGATCACCTGGGACCTAGATGTAATTCATCTAGTTTTTCTTATTTGGCCATCAAACATTGTTATCAAGCTATCTGTGTGCAAGCACTTTCTAGGTTCCAGGCACCGCTTCTGAGATCTAGAAACACATTAAACACAGACAACCCTGTGCGCTGGAGTTTCGTGGCTGGGAAACTGAGTCTGACTGTAGGCAACTCCCCAAGACGCTCAGCAATGACGGCGGATGCTAGGCGGCGCCGCCCGGCCCGGCCCAGCCCCTGAGCCCGGCTCTACCTGTGGCTCCTCCCGCCTCG